ACCAGGAGATTTGCATTTTCTGTTCTAGATCTGCTATATATGAGACATTATAAAAGATAGTTCTTTTCTGAAAAATGAGATTACCATTCCCCAGCTAGATACTAAGGGTGAACTTCTAAAAAATTCTAACTTCCATGCTAAAATTTGGGTAATTCTGGATTAAACAAAGTTAAGCAAGTTTTCATACCCAATGTGTATTGTGAATTTTCAAAAGATGGATATAGTATTGAAGGTTTCTGTGTTACCCTAGACATGTTACACATATAGACATGTTACACATGTCTATACCATGTGTATTAAGTGATTATCAGAGCATAGTTTGGGAAACAAAGGACTGAATATATTTCAGACTTTCTTGTAATTCTGAGATGTTATATTCAATGATTTCAAATTATCTATTTACATTTTTAACCCATAAAAGAAAAAGAAGGGGTGCCTGGGTGGCTCAGTCAGTTAAGCGTCTGCCTTCAGCTCAGATCTTGATCACAGAGTTCTGGGATCTAACCCCACATCATTGGGCTCCCTGCTCAGAAGGCAGCCTGCTTTCTCCCTCTCCCTCTGCCCCTCCCCTTGCTTGTGCACTCTCTCTCTCTGTCCAATAAATAAATAAAATCTTAAAAAAAAGGAAAGAAAAAGATGTACATTTGTAGCCAACTGTGTGCTTGTGAAGGACCAGTGTTATTTGCAAAATGTCTTAGGTTGCAGCATTATAACAACTACACATTTATTTAGATCTTTTTAATTAATTAAAAATAATATGTGTATCTTTTATTTAGGGTAGAGTGTTAAAGATTTTTAAGGTAGTTATATAGTGTTAGTCGTTATAGTTTCTAGATAAAATACTCTAAAATCCTGCAAATATTATTTTTTACTTTAAAAATTGCACACATTACAACTCTAAGGAAATAATAGCGAAAGAAGAGCTTTTTCCAAAATATGAATACAGTTGTTTTCATCACTTAATTTAGTAATCATCAGTATCATATCCTTAGCATGTTCTTCTAGAACATTTTTGAATTTGACGTTATAGTAACTTTCTACTATGAAAAAAAAAACAAAACTGATGGAAGAATATTTTATTTCCTTAGGGATAGAGTGAAATGTGGGAGTTTTTTAAGGAAAATTTACTTCCATAAATATTTGGAGTAGGAGTCAGCTTGAAGAAACTCTCACTGGCCAAATCTGGGACAAATTGAACATCAAAATAAATAAGGATAATAATGAATTATAACACCTTTAATAAAATAAGAATCTCTTAGCGCATACTAATATAAGAAAGAAAGAAAGAAAGAAAGAAAGAAAGAAAGAAAGAAAGAAAGAAAGAAAGAAAGAAAGAAAGAAAGAAAGAGAAAGAAGGAAAGAAAGAAGGAAAGAAAGAAAAGAGAAAGCTCTTCCTTATGCCAACTAATACAAGGGATAATGGAGTTAAAAAATCATCAACAGATGCTAAAATCAGTGGGTAAAATTTTATATAAAATAGTTTCAAAATATTCTCCCACAAATTACTTAAACAAATTAATTTACTCCCACAAATTAATTATAAAGGAAATTTAGTAATTTGACAGTGGAGAAACTGGTGGACATCACATTAACAAACTAATCAAAACGACCAATATTGGATTAAACTAACATTTCATGTGCTTCCTGATATGATGTACTTGAAAAGGAGAAAGCATTGCCTCTATAGTATTCCCACCAAGATGCATAACCTAAAGCTAATCAAGAGGAAACATCAGACAAACTCAAAATGAAGAACATTAAACAAAATAACTGGCCTGTGTTCTTGAAAAATCTCAAGATCAAGAAAGACAAAAAAGGCAGAGAAAGTTTCCATTTTTAAGGAAACTAAAGAGATTTTAACAGCTACATGTAATGTGTGATAATGGGTTGGATCGTGGCCCATAGGTTAAAAAAACAAGCATAAAATGCTACAAAGGCATTACAGGACAATTATCGAAAATTGAATATGAACTGTGGATTGGATATATTAAATTTCTTGATTTCAAAAATTGTATTGTTGTTATGTAAAAGAATATCCATGTCCTAAGGAAATGCTTATCGAAGTTTTTAGAGGTAAATTGGCACATTGTTCCAATTTACTCTCGAAAGAAGAAATTAGATACTTAGATGACAAAGCAAATGGGGCAAATTGTAAACAATCAAGGAATCTGGATGAAGTTTCTGTAGAGTTCCTCATCCTATTCTTGTAACATTTCTCTAAGTTTGATTTATACTGAGATAAAAAGTTGTAATACTTTCTTTGAGTTTGAGTATGCCCACTGAGAGTTAAAACCTACTTCAATATAATGGGTCAAGTTGTTCTAAGTATGTAAGGGAAAAGGCCAGACCTTAGAAATGTATCCCTTGTTCTTTGTCCAAATTGATAAAATTATGAAGCAAAATTAATATGATTAATAATCCCCCTCCTTCAAGAAAAGGTCATTTATAGTATATTTGTGAGCATGTTAAATTCTTTATGTTAAATGTACCGTTTGAACTCAGGGTATTAATATTTTAAGTAAATGCACTTAGAGGATGTACAATAGACAGCTATTTCAAGAGACACATAAAACTACTACATCTATTCTCTCCCCAACTTCCACCGCACCTGCCACACATTTACTTATTCTTCATGCCCCACTTTACCTGGCTAATTTAAGTGTAACAAAAGCTTTGTCCAGGAACCTTTTTTGCCTTCTACAGTTTATAATAAATCATTGTCACCACTCTATAAAGGTGATAGATTATGTATTAAATTGAGAAACATGCTTTTTAAAAAGACTTTCTATTAAGAAATTGCCTAGTTTTTTATACTTTATGTCAGAAATTACTATAGTATATTTTATCTCAAAAGAGGGATAATTACTAAAATAACCTTAATTTTTAATATTTTGAGTACATCACAATTTTTTCACTAGGCACTATATATTTATAGTGTGCATGTTATTCACATATATTATGTATATATTTATACATATATACATATAAAACATAATTTTACTTCATCTTTCTCAAATTCTGCCTTCTTTGTATTCATAAGATATATAGTCTTTATAAACAAATCAGTATTTTTTTCTAGTCAGAAGTCAAATACTACTTTTTAGTTGTTTGACATTGAGAGTTGGCAAGTCAAAGAAAAATCCAGAGGACTAAATTGTACTTTAACTTTTTGAAGTTATTTACCATTTAATAGACAATCAAGAGGCAAAGACTGTCATAGATTCAGATATCAGCTGATTCATTTTTGAATACAAGAGTCTAAACCAAAAGTGAAAATGTAAGTAAGAGAGGTAACTAAGAAAGACTATGTATGTGTGAACATGTGAGTATGTTTGAAGTAGGTTTTTTTATTGTTAGTTTTTTATTTATTTAAGTAATCTCTGCACCCAACATGGGTCCAAACTCACAACCCCAAGATCAAGAGTCACATGCTCTCCCAACTGAGCCAGCCAGGCGCCCCTGAAGCAGGCTTTTAAAATTGTTTTGATGCTTCTGTGTAGGAAGGAATATTATTACTCAGCATTATAAATATTAAGAGATGAAGGATTGTTTCCTCATGGAAAATTTAATAGCTTTCTAAGGAAAGGTAAATATATAAACCATTACAGCAAATAAACTAAATTTTTATTTTTTTTAATTCCACCAAGAACTTTATAGTCTACATTCAAAATGTATCATATAAAACATGTCAATAATACTTTTGCCCTTTTAATGACTATATAATTTATCTGAGAAAATGGTCATGTGTCATCATGTAAAATTATTTTATAGAATTAAATCTTGGAGCTCTTATTTATATAAGAAAGGATTCACCTCCAATACTGACCTACTTTTTTTATTCAGATTTTTTTAGTGAGTGTCTCACATCAAGATTTGAAGCGAGAATTTTATTGTAATATATTAAGAAAGAGAAACTCATTCTTGCTGTGTTTCTGTAATCTGAATATAAGGTTATATGATATTAACAACCAGCAGATGGAGGGAAAAATGATCTAGGAAGCTAGGCTATAAATGCTAGGTTTATTCCAGAACTTAAAGATTTTCAAAATTTTGCTAAAGCTTCTCTAAACTGTCTGATCTTTTAGTAGGAAATTCATAATTTAGAGTGGGAAAGAAAGACACAGAATCTCAAGGTAAGGTCTGTGTCACTTCAGATGATATCATCATCTTCTTACACTTCCTATGAAGGCCACTTTTGGTTCTTTAATCTCCTAACTGGTTTGGTTCCAAAGAAATAGCTCAATTGGGAATATAAAAGTGATTTTTTTCCCAATGATTTTTCACCATAATACCAGTATTAAGACTCTCTTAAGATTCTCATTCATCTAGTGACCTTCCTATAAAAAAAAAAGAATGTATTAAATTCACTAGTGATTGAATGCCCTGTTAAAAAAGCTGCTTTAGCTTGTATTCATTCATTCATTCATTCATTCAGCATAAATCACATACATTCGTGCTAAGTACTATGGTTGGATTAAAGTTGCAGGCATAGAAGATATATCCCCATTCTCAAGTTGTTTATGACAAGCAAACTGAACCATGACAATGCAGTATAGTAAATGTGATAAAAGTGGTATGATGTGCTATCAAGATACGTAGTAAGAGTTCCTAACCTATACTGGGTAGTTTGGGAAGTCAGTGATTTTGATTACCAAAGATGGGATTAGAAAAATATGAGCTGAATTTTGTGATCCAAATCAGTGTATTTATAGATAAACATTAGTTTCATTAACACTAGCAATTTATTGAATGTCTCTGATATGCTAAATGTTAGAACAAATATGATCTTGTCATTTGTATTAAATTTCTAAAATAATAATAGTAGACTTTTTTCCCTAAGAAAATATTTGCCTTATTTCTTCTGATTGTTAGGCTCTTTCTGGTTAACTGTTATACACCAATTCAGGTCATACCACTCATACATACCATTGGCATTCTGAGGTAACCAAGGAGAACATTATGGGTTCATTAATGAAAATCTATCCTTTACTACTAAAAAGCCAACACCAACTCATGGCCTACTAATATAGTTGGATCATTACCTTCATCCTTGTGTGTGGAGGACGGTAAGTCATTATTATACTGTGAGCCATCACCAGTAGGAAAAGCGTTATTTTGCAGTGTTTCTGAAAAGTAGTAGTTATGAATTTAGAGAAACAGCCTTGAACAGAGAGAGATTTCTAAATACAAGAAAAAGTGGGAACACAGAAATTAGGATGAAAGGTAAGAAGATGGGAAAAATTAGCAAAGAGAACATAAAACTCAAATGAAGTAGGTAATAAAAGAAAATATAGTGGGCTCAAGAATTTTGAGGAGTTTGATGGTTAAATATCATGCAAAAAGACTTAGTGGAAAGTCACCGGTACTTGAGGTTGAGAGATTGGGCAGCCATTGTTGTTTCCTACAATTCTGCCTCTGATTTCCAGCAGCTCTGCTAGCTGGGGAACTGAGGAACAGCAGTTTAGCCTATGAGCAGTTGTTCTAATTAGCTCTTTCTAGTGTAATGAAGACCTCCTGTAGTTGCATACTGGAATAAACACATAGTTTAGCTGTATATAGTCCTTACCTAATTTTTAAAAGAATTATGTGTTGATATGGTTACAAAATTAAATTTTAACTTTGGTAAAAACAGACTTTAGTAAACACTGAAAATTAGTTCTATGATATCACAAAAAAGCAAGCAGACCTAATTTTTGAATAGAATTAACTATTCAAATTTTTGAAGGAGCAGGGGCGCCTGGGTGGCTTAGTCAGCAGAGCCTCAAACACTCGATCTCAGGGTCATGAGTTCAAGCCCCACATTGGATTACTTAAAAAGTAATAATAATAATGAATAAATAAATACTTTCTAAAAAATATACATATATATAAATTTTTCAGGGAGCAGAAAGAGATAGTATCTCTTTTTTTTCAACTAACATCTTTATTCATGGAAAAAGAAGTGTTTTCAAAAGTGTGTGGAAGCATAAGGAAAGGGCATATACTTAAAGAATCTAGTCTGTGTAGAAACCATCTTTCAACTAAATCTTTCAAAAGAGTATCTTTGATAAGATTTTTTATTTATTATTTTGTATTTCTACTCATGACTTTGGTAGATTTCAGTCAACTCAGGCTGTAATAGCTCTTGTTCAATGATAGTATTCATTATGGTGAAAAGTACATATTGAATAACAAGATAATGACTTAATGTAGTAATGATCCTTGTTGACTTGTATCTGATATGGGAAAATAAATAAACATGTTCTTCTGTATTTGTTATTGAAAGGAGAAGCTATACGAATTCCATTTTTGCTTTCATTTATTATACATTATATCCATTATCTTTCCAATAACTGATAAACCATAAGACTTTCTGGATCAAAGTGTGTTAGAACCTTCAAGATTTGAAAATCTCAAACAAACAGTATTGATATTGTATAAATATTGATGATGGCTGAACGTAGATGGACAAGCTTCCGTCTAAATGCAAGTCAATTTTTTATTTATAGTGAACTTTTTTATTTTATGTTAATCACCATACATTGCATCATTAGTTTTTTGTTGTTGTTGTTGTTGTTTTTAGTGTTCCATGATTCATTGTTTGCATATAACACCCAGAGCTCCATTCAGTACGTGCCCTCTTTAATACCCGTCACCAACTAACCCATCCCCCCACCCCCTCCCCTCTAGGTTTTTTTTATTATGTTATGTTAATCACCATACATTACATCATTAGTTTTTGATGTAGTGTTCCATGATTCATTGTTTGCATATAACACCCAGTGCTCCACTCAATATGTACCCTCTTTAATACCCATCACCAGGCTAACCCATCCCCCACCCCCCTCCACTCTAGAACCCTCAGTTTGTTTCTCAGAGTCCATAGTCTTTCATGGTTCATCTCCCTCTCCGATTTCCCCCCTTCATTTTTCCCTTCCTACTATCTTCTTCTTTTTTTTAACATATAATGTATTATGTTTCAGAGGTATAGGTCTGTGATTCAACGGTCTTACACAATTCACAGCACTCACCATAGCACATACCCTCCCCAATGTCTAGCACCCAGCCACCCATGCCTCCCACCCCCCACCACTCCAGCAACCCTCAGTTTCCTGAGATTAGGAAGTCCTCGTATCAGTGAGATCATATGATACATGTCTTTCTCTGATTGACTTATTTCGCTCAGCATAATACCCTCCAGTTCCATCCACATCATTGGAAATGGCAAGATTTCATTCCCTTTGATGGCTGCATATTATTCCATTGTAAAGATGTGGTATATATATGCAAGTCACTTTTTTTGGAGAATCTGAAACCAGTTACTTTTATTAGAAGATACTCAATGAAAACATGAACCAAATAAAATGCTCTCAGTAGTCATCAGGTGACTCAATCCCTTTTTCTTTTTGTAATACTTACTAATTAGAATTATTCATAATACTGTTATTGACTTGGTGGCTTTCTTCCATTCTCCTTTTTCAGTGCACAGATTCCTTTTAAATGTTGAATCTAGGCTTAGCTGATTACCTTCCTGACATAATATACTGAAATATTTTATTGGGTTGGAGAACCTTATTAGATGCAGTTTGCCACACCAGAATGTTAGTACATAGCACACAGCCTGTTTACTTGTTGCAAAAAAATAAGAATCTTTATATATGTGAATGTGTTTACACAGATCAACCTGCATGTGCTCATGTATTTTTTTATTACAAAGTCAGATAGAATAATTCTGAATGTATATGTAGGTATTTAACAACCCTCAATCATCTTATCATTTACAATGTAAAAAACCCTTGGAGCCATAATAAGCAATATGATACCAGGTTCTGTATTTTCTTTTTTACCAGTCTTACTAAGGTGTCCTGTGTTTTTTTTTTTTTATTTTTTTAACCTCCATAAATTACAATTAGTTAGCAAGTGCCTATTGAACACTTTCTAAGTGGAACCTAAAATTTAAAGTGATATTAAAGAGAAGTAAATGAAAGCTTAGCGCCCCTATTGACCTTTCATTTCAGTGTTTTCCCATAGTAGGAGAGCCTGAAGGTGACCATTCTGTTCCCTTGCCCTGGGGTTGAGGTATGGAAGACAGAGTACATCCTGTCGGGATGCTGGGATACTGAAAAAGATGATCTCTCATGCAGATGTACTAGAAAGCAGTACTATTTTAAATACTTGATCGCTATTCCAATATAGTGAATTTATTTTGAATTCAAGGTAACCTTTTAGCTAACATTATTTAATGCCTGCTGTATATAAATATTATATTAAATATTGATCTTGAATGCCACAGCCTTGGACTTTTCTCTTATTTTAGCATCCTTTCCAAAGTATTATACATGTTATTAATGAAAATACTATAAGCACAAGATCCAAAATACCATAGTTTAATAGCATGTCTTAGGCTTACTGCTAATACGTTAGTAATTTTATTAGCAGCTAGGGAGTTTAAGGAAGAAATATTTTTAAATCATACATTTTTGTTCAGTCAAGATTCTTTACTACAAATAATATAATCCTTTCTGGTCAGTTCAACAATAAAGGAGACATGTTGAAAGTTATTAATTAGGTAGCTAATAGACTCCAGCAGGGCCAGAGAGCAGCTCTGAAGTTACCCATTAAGTAACATTGTACAAGCATATTCCAGAAGCTCTTGTAGCAAAACACTGTTTCCACTGGCACCAAGCACTTAAGATGCATCAGTCTGAATGCCACTATCATCCCCAAAGAACCTGATGTCTCCACCAACAAATCAAGTTCTCCAAGAGGAGTTGCATCCTCAGGTTGCTTACCTCCAGTTGCAAATCATACTCTGTGAATTCAATTGCTGGAACCTAAGGTATTTATTTACCTAGCTGTAAGACAGTCTGAGAATGCTAGTTTTCGGATTTTTGCCTTAAGAAAACTGAAATCATACTATAGAATATTCACAAAATACAGACATACCTCAGAGATATTTCAGGTTTAGTTCTAGACCACTGCAATAAAACAAATAGTACAATATAAGGTAAGTCAAATAAATTTCTTTGCTTCCCAATGCATGTAAAAGTTATGTTTATACTATGCTATGATTTATTAGATGTACAATAGGATTCTGTCCAAAAAAAAAAACAATATACACACCTTAATTAAGAATTCTGTATGTCTAAAAAATGCTATCCATCATATGAGCTTTCAGCAAGTTGTAATCTTTTTGCTGGTGGAAGGTCTTGCCTTGATGTTGATGGCTACTGACTGATCAGGGTGGTGGTTGCTGAGGTTGGGGTGGCTGTGGCAATTTCTTAAAACAAGACAACAATGAAGTTTGCCACATCAACTGACTCCTTTTTTCATTTGAACACTTAGAGGGCATTGTAGGATTATTAATTAGCCTAATTTTAATATTATTGTATCTCAGGGAATAGGAAGGCCCAAGGAGAGGGAGAGAGACAGGAAAACAGCCATCACTAGAACAGTGAGCACACACAACAGCAAATGCTGTTGGAAAAATGGTGCTGATAGACTTGCTCAATGTAGGATTGCCACAAACCTTCAATTTGAAAAACACAGTATCTACAAAGTACAATAAGACAAAGTCTACCTAGGGTGCCTGGGTGGCTCAGTTGGTTAAGCGACTGCCTTCGGCTCAGGTCATGATCCTGGAGTCCCGGGATCAAGTTCCACATCGGGCTTCCTGCTCAGCAGGGAGTCTGCTTCTCCCTCTGACCCTCTTCCCTCTCGTGCTTTCTATCTCTCATTCTCTCTCTCTCTGAAATAAATAAATAAAATCTTTAAAAAAAAAAAAGACAAAGTCTACCTATATAAGGAAAGCATTCAAAACCATAGGTAACCAATATCCACAAATAACAGTGTACTAGATTAATTTTCATCTTAAATCTTCATTCGTCATTTAAAATTTCTAGGGTTCAGGTACAGGTCATTGTCTTCCTCTGGGAAATTTATCCCAATTTTTGCCTTCAGTAAGCACCTAAATTATTTTCTTAGTGAGTCACTTCTACCAAATGTTAGCTCTTTTAACCATCATTCATGCTTGAGCTGAAAGAGAGGAGCACATCTGCAATTATAAGGCAGGGTTTCTCACCCTCAGCATTATTGATGTTTTGGAATGAAGAATTCTTTGTTGTTGGGGGCTGTCCTGTGCATGTTTAGCAGCATCTCTGGCCTCTACCCACTAGATGCCAGTAGCATGCTTGCAAGCGCATACACACACACACACACACACACACACACACACACACCCATAATGATAATCAGAGTTGTCTTCAGACATTGACAGATGTTCCCTAGGATACTAAATCATTGCCAGTTGAAAGCCACTAAATGCAAGTATGTCTTTGCTTATGAACAATTTATGGAAATAAATAGAAGCCATCTTTGACTACTTTTTCTCTGCTTCTTAGAGGCTGACCATTGATGTTGTGATTATAGGTCTCTCACTACTTCCTCTAAATTCTTTTCTCAAAATGTATGAAATTATATAAATCTAAAAAGGAGGTTGAAAAACTAGCTCTTTTGTGTAGGACCCTAGTAATTCACTTGCTTCCTCTAGTACTTCCCTTTTGCTTTGTCTTCTTCCCTTTCTGTCAGTATAAATATTCTGTATCCTCTCCCTTCTCCAAGGATAGTCTTGATAGTGGGTACCTATAGGAAGGAAAGAAGGGAGGAAAAACAAAGCTGGATCATAGTTTGAATTTAAACTTCGTGCTTCAGAAATTTGGTGAATTGAGTACATATTTCTTAAGGTTATCGTGGGAACAAATGAACTAAAAGTATCCATTTTGTCATTACATTAAATTTACTTGAAAAGATGTTCCCACAATATAGAAATTATCAATTATATAGTCAGGATTTGGGATTGAGCCTGAAAACCTTCTTTTAAAAAACTTCCTGCATTTCCTTTTGAAATGCAGAGCATTTCAATGAACTATAGATAAGCCATATAAATTGTTTTTTTCTTTTAATGCATTCTGCAGTATTCATTAATTTATATATATTTTCATTCCTTAAAAAATGATAGTTTATATAAGTGAAATGGTTTTATATATTAATCCTTAATTATTCTAAGCAAAGATAAAATAGTAAAAAATCAGTTTAATGACCTTTGGTTTCTTGATAAATTTCAAAGTTGACCTGAATCATATTGCTACTTTTTCACGTTAACCTCCAAAATTGCTAACCTGTTTTAAGAGTTTAGGAGTATACCTTTCCAAAATTGAAGAGTAACATCTAATTTCCTTACATTAAGCATTTTTTTTACAGCTTAATAAGTTATAGCTTTACAAGTGTGAGGGCATGATTAAATTTCTTTTCATATTGCTTTTAAGTAGAATAAATAATTCAACTTTTTATCAGCATAGTTTCAGTTTTTATACTATATCATAAATAGCTCTTCAGCTGTGTTAGAACTTTCTTCCTTACCAGAAATACTTAAGGTTTTTCTGTTATTAAAAAAGAGAGAAATGTTTATCTTATATTATCTTGAAATAACTCACTAACTCTAATCAATACATTTTTATTTATTAATTTTGGCTAGCTTTACTGTAATGCATCTCCATAGTGTCCATTAATCTAATTAAAATTCAGTCAGAATTTGATATAGCTTAGGTATATTTTAATAATATATATATTTTTTCATATATAGGAAATAGTTTCATATATAGGAAATTCATATATATATAGGACAAACACTTTTTTACAAATTTGTGATTAGGTAATTACAAACATATAATTATTGGCTATCTATTGTCCTATTTGGAAAATAAATTTTTTTGTGGCTTACATCTTCCTATTTTTAATATTTGTGAAATTTAAATTTTACGTATTGTACCAAATGAAAAGGACTTAGAGAAATTAAGGTAAAACATATAAAAATATTAAACATAAGAAAATGATATTAATACTTTATTGTTATTGTTAAAATTAAAGAAAATATTTAATTGGAAAAAATTACACATTTTTGCTAAAGACTTCATTGCTATATTAAAATTTTTTAAGAACTAGAGCTTTTATTATAAAAATAACACCAATTTGAAAATATTCAAATAGCACAGAAGTGGAATAATTAGAAAATCAGTATGAAGACATCTATTTTTAGCAGTGTAACAGATTACTCTGAAGAGCTGCCTTAATACAAAATAATCAAATCCTGCGTAAAACTTAGTTACTTCATTGCTAAGTTCCACAGGTAGAAATAAAATCTTAAGCAAGGATGAAAAAAACTTGGACTGAAACTAAAGTATAAGCAATAAACATATGACAGCTGGGGTCTTCTTAATGGTAAATGTGAATAACAACAATTATTCCAGAAGAAAACTATAGGCCAATAGCAAGACAGAGAAGCTGGAAGAAATAATTCTCACTTAAGGTAAGGGGTTTCATCCTTTTGTTTTGTTTACAGATTTTGTCAACCAAAAATGAGTTCATAATTAAAATCCAGCAAACACATATGGAAATAAGCCACCATGAGTGAGAGCAGAAAAGACAAATTTCAGATGTAAACCCCCACCAAAGACTGAAGGTATTGCAATTAGCTCATATAAAATATATAAGAACAAATTTGAAATGTTTTAAAAAATAAGTTGGCAGTGGAATATATAATTGCCAATGAAAAATAAAATTTTAATAAATAGATATATTGGTCAGAATTTAGTCAATAAAATAGAAACTATTCCAATTATCTTAAAGGGACTATTTAATACAGGGAATTTGCTACACAGGTTATTAGAAAGAACTAGAGAAATGAAGGGAGGATAACTGGCAAAGCAAATAAAATGGAAAAAGGAGTAATATTTAGTGCTCAGAAGCTGCTAACATTCCTTGGTTGGAGCCTGCAAGCCTAAATCCACTGAGGTGCTGTTGTAATTATATCACCTCAATAAGAGCTGGAATTACCAAAAAGTTACTGCCTCTTCTCAAACTACTGGGTTCCAGAATCACCTTATCCCTACTGTCCAACTAGCAATTCATTCCTTATAAGTTTAATGGGTTAAAAATTAAGGAGAAAAATCAGAAATAAACAATATTGTGAGTAAAAATACTCTACTTAAAAATCAAGTAGATATTTAAAAGAGAAGAGGATTCTATGGACACTTTATACCAATAAATTGTGAAAACTTAGGTGAAATGCACAAACTACTAAGAATTATACCTTACCAGAAATGACTCAAGAAAAAATTGAAAGCCAAGGTACTCCTATAACCATTAAGGAATTAAATATTTTGTTAAAGCCTTCTCATTAAAAACACACACACACACACAAGTCTCACATAGTTACAACTGATCTTCGGTCTTTCAAATATCTTAATATTTCAGATTTACTCATTTTAATGGAAAAGAGAAAAAGGAAGAATTATTCCCAAACTCAGCTATATACATCTATATCAAAACCTTAATATTTAAACCAAACAAAAACAGCAAGAGAAAGGAAAAGTACAATTCATTCTTATTTATGAATGTTAATATCAAATCCTACACAAAACTTTAGCAAACAGAATATAACAGTGTTTAAAAAGGAAAATACATCATGATCAAGAAGGGCATCAAAAGAATGCAAGTATGGTTTAACATTGATGGCAAAGGGGTGGGATGTATGCATGTCATTTAGCATAGCAAATTAAAGGAGAAAAACATGGCATCTCAATAGATATTTTTAATTTAAATTAAAGTTAGTTAACATATAGTGTCGTATTGGCTTCAGGAGTAGAATTTAGTGATTCTTCACTTATATATAACACCCTGTGCTCATCACAAGTGCCCTCCTTAATACCCATCACCCATTTAGCCCACCCACGTCCCTCCATCAACCCTCAGTTTGTTCTGTTGCTAAGAGTCTCATGGTTTTCGTCTCTCTCTTTTTATCTTATTTTATTTTTCTTTCCCTTCCCCTATGTTCATCTGTTTTGTTTCTTAAATTCCACATATGAGTGAAATCAATACAATCATATTTGTCTTAATTAGTAAATGACTTATTTCATTTAGCATAATACACTTTAGTTCCATCCATGTTGTTGCAAATGGCAAGATTTCATTCTTTCTTAATGGCTGAGTAATATTCCAGTGTGTGTGTATGTGTGTGTGTGCGCATGCACATGCGCACGTGCAATACATCTTCTTTATCCATTCATCAGTCAGTGGATATTTGGGCTCTTTCCATAATTTGGCTATTGTTGATAGTGCTACTATAAACATCAGGATGCATGTATCCCTTCAATTCAGCATTTTTGGATAAATACCTAGTAATGCATCTAAAGATTTTTTTTTTTTAATTTTAGTTGACTCATTCATGGAGGAGAAAAAACCTCTTAGTGAAACTGGAAAGGAAGGGAAGATTCCCTAACTTGATAAAGGGTATCTACCAAGAATATGCAGCAAATACCATTTTTACCAATAAAATCCTAGAGGCATTTTCTTTAAAATTAGAACAAGACAATTAAACATTGTAGTGGAGGTCAGAGTCCTCACAACAAGAACAGAAAAGAAATATCAAGTATAACCATTTGGAAAAGAAGAAATTAAACTACATTCATTTGTAGATCGCATGTTATTTACATAGAAAACTCAAAATAATTTACAGGTAAACTCATTTCAGAAATAAAATGAGAGTTTAGCAAGGAGACTGACTATAAAATCAATACACAATAATAAATTACATTTCTAACATTTAAAAAGTTAGAAAAGATACTATTTACTACATCCACAAAGATGTAAAATACAAAGAAATAAAAGTGTGCAAGATCTTTATGAAAAACTATAAACTTCATTGAGGAACATTAAGTTTAAGTGGAGAGTTGCACTAATATTTTTGATTAAATATAGACAAGATGTCAGTTTTTTCCAAATTGGTTTATAGATCAATGTGATTTCAGTGAAAAATCCTAACAGGGTGTTTGAAGAACTCTACTTGGGTCTAAATTTTACATGGGAAAGCAAAGAGCCTAGAATAGACAACAGACTCCTAAAGAATAAGGTAAATGAATTTGTTCTGTCAGATAACAAGATTTGTTATAAAGTGGAGAATTTAAGAAACTGTGGTATTGGCAGGGGGATAGACAACTTGACCAACAGAACAAAATATGTTGTTTTGAGATTGCTAAATATGTGATAAAACTTTTTTTTCAAAAGCAAAAGAAATAATGAATACAAAATTTAAAGTAATGATGCCTTCTGGGGCAGTGAGTTTGAGATTAGAGGTTAGGTATGTGTTCGTGGGCGTTTATTATTATGCTTTAGAACTCACATATATGACATATATGTTATATGCATAATATAATTATAATTATATTAGTTTTAAAAGGCTGCTGTACAAACTACCACAGACTGCATGACTTAAACAATAGATATTTATTTTCTCATAGTTCTAGAGGCTAAAGTCCAAGACCAAGGTGCTGCAGGTCTGCTTTATCCTGGAGTCTCTCTCCTTGGCTTGCCTCAGATAGCTGCCTTCTTGCTCTGTCCTCACAGGGCCTTTTCTCTGCTGTCCCACTCATAATGTCTCTTTCTCCTCTTGTAAGGACACTAGTCAACTGGACGAGGACCCCACTCTTATGACTTCATTTAACCTTAATTACCTCCTGAAAGGCCCTGTCTCCAATACTGTCATACTGGGGGGTGGGGTGGGTTAAGGACTTCAACATAGAATTTTAGGGGCACTCAACTCAGTCCGTAGCAATAATTTTTAATTAAAAAATTTAAATAGAACATGCACCCCACACTCTTATCCTTTTTGGTTTTCAGAAGTTCTTCATATTAACCTCTTTGGGAATTCCTTTTAGTATTTCTCTAAGAAAAGCAAATAAAAGAGCCTGATTAGGATAGGAATGGTTATATCCCTTAACAGGCATATTCATAAATCAGTCTGCATAAGTCTGTAAAGTCTACATTTCAAATCAGTAAATTGAAACTCCCAGGACTCTTTTATAACGGAAGAGACCGGAGAAGAAAATGTTTTGAGGTTTCTGAATATTTTATTTAATCTTAGATAGTCTCAAGGTATGTTTCAAGTTGTTTTTTATCTTCCATAAAGGGCTTAGAGAAATGTTGATTACTTTTTAGATAAGTTTCAGAAAACAATGTTAAAGAGCAGTACTTACTAGGCAAAAAAAAAAAAAAAAAAGCCATATCTAAAAATAGTTGAATCACATGAGTTTATATTTTAGTATGCTAACAAACAAAAATGTTCAGGTTTAATTTGCAGCCCGGCTATATTTTTGACATATTCTTGCTTTGCTCAGACTGAATGACTCAATGACTTAATATTTCTCTGCAATGAATTTTAGCAAATACCCAGATGATTTAATGTAATTTATACTATTTAAATCTCTTTTTCCAGCCTGAAAGTAATTTTTGATTCTAGAATGCTTTTCTTTTGACATCACATATTTCATAAGTAATGTACTTTGGGCGTCACCAAAACAAAGAACGAGTTTCTTATCAGCAGACAGCATTCCCCTCTAATGTGTTCATCTGCCTGATTTTAGTAAGCATGTTAAGTAAGAATTAATGGAAGCTTCCAGATATTTTTCCAATAGTCATACTTCTTCAGTTAGTCTGTATCTTGTCAAAGCTTAATAGCCTGAAGCTAATAGACATATTGATAAAGTTGTCATTGTTCTGAAAACAGTTATTATTCATTTGTCTTAGGTTTTGCATTTGTTCCTCAAGGAATATAAATATACATGTATTCTATAAAAGAATATTTCTGTTGACCTTTATATGTATTTTTTCTGCTCTCTGACTTGAATTATTAAAAAACAAATGGAACATTTAATAATTTTTTTCTGTAGCCTCCTTCAGTCTGGTATACTACATTATGTAAATTTCTGTTTTACTTTTTTCTCACAAAGTAGAAATTACTTCATTTTTTCCTGAATATAAAGATGGTGCTATTTATTGAAAATATCTATTTTTCTAATAATGTAGACAAAGTTCATATTAGAATGGCCTTCTTGAAGACATGATATCGCATTTCTTTATTGCTATAGCTATTTCTATAATAAGAGCAGTGTAGACAATACACAGTAACACAGCATAAACCCAAATTCCAAGTCTTTGTTATGGGGTTTGATTGTTTTTTATTGACAAAATCAACGGGAGAACTGCCGAATATTTTATTCCTTTTTTATGTTATAGACCAGTGTTTTTCTTTTTCTTTTTTTTTTTTTTGAAGATTTTTTAAATTTATTTGTCAGAGAGAGAGAAAGAGCACAAGCAGGGGGAGTGGCAGGCAGAGCAGGTAGAGGGAGTGGCAGGCAGAGCAGGTGCTCCCCACCGAGCAAGGAGCCTGATGCGGGACTCGATCCCAGCCCTCTGGGATCATGACCTGAGCCCAAGGCAGACACTTAACCAACTGAGCCACCCAGGTGTCCGACCAGTGTTTTTCAATATACTGTATCCAGACTTTCTGTTCTATCAAAATTACCTGGAGGTGCTTGTTAAAAATAAAAATACCTAGATGCTATGCTATAGGTTCGCAGTCAGAATACCATCAGTCTGGCCTGGACATCTGCATTTTAACAAATG